AATTTTGGTTTGGATATAGTATTTATTATGGAACAATTGTTTATTCAATTTTAATAAAGTTTTAAATAGATCATATATTCGTCAGTGTCCTTTACTTATATAGTAGATGATTTAGTGTATAGAGTTTAGCTTATACACGGAAGATTAAATCATCGTGTACTTTCACTTATAAGTATAAAGATCATGTTCACAATCTAATGATGGAATTGGACAAACCATCAGGAATGATTATAGTACAAGATTAGAGATAATTTATCTTGATTATGGGAATGGTTTAATTCCAACTTCTTGTGCTAGTACATTTTGTATGTATTGAACGAACCAAGTAGAGATAAGTATTTTATACTGACTTAATAAAATAAAACTCTCTAGCCATTAAATGTACTTATACTCTTAATCTTGATATAATTGTTATTAGCTGTGTATATTATTATTGTTTTGATTTATTAAAAGGCGAGATTCTTTCGTGGGTCAATATGCCTGGTAAATTGGACAATAGAAATATACATTGGCAAAGTAATAGTTAGTTGATGGAATCCATGTCTCGGTCTAGAGATTGATGATACACCTTTATAAAAGCTTATAAGTTTTCATGTGTAAACCCTGCATGTGGATTTTGTATCCGTCACATGAAATAAGTTAAGCGAAAGTCTAAAGAAAATAATCAATGAATTAAATTGTCAGTAATTTATTTTATTTGATTAGTATCTGAATCTTAACATGGGGAGTTAAATAAGATTTAATGGAAGAATTTCGAAATTGAACTGAGGAGTGCAGTTACGGATTTTTAGTGGAATAATTTGTAACTTATTATGGTAGTATTAATTCAGATATTTCGAATTAAGTCCATAATGGGAAGCCTCGTTAATTAAATACCGCGGTCCCTGCTGTGCCCGAATAATTAGGAATTAAATGGAATTCTATTTCTTGGTGGAAATGGAAGACCCAACAGGTTTAGGAAAAGGGTTTTAAACCCTAAAACCTGTGGCTATATAAAGAGGTCTTATTCCATAAGGAGGCAAGGTTTTTACTACATGCTTTTCCTAGGAGAAATTCGCCCACACGAATTTCGCTAATTCCAGGCATTATTCGGGTCACACAGCAGAAGACTGTGGAACTAAAGGATGAACTCGTGGATGGTTTTTGCTCATGCTTGGAGGCTTCTCGCGATCGCAGTCACGCTTCAAGAGATAAGTATCGATTTTATGTTCGATTAAAATCTGTGATTATGTGTTGTCTATATTACATGCAAGTGATCCTGGCTATTTGCTTCCGCTGTTCATACCTGTTTTCCATCACATTGAACTTCATCTACGATCGGTGGCGGAGGCAGGATCTCCATGAAGGGGTTCAAAAAAAAATTGTAGCTAGTGGGAATTTAACCTCTGACCTTAGGAAGGTTTTGAACTCCCTTGACCACTAAGCTACACTTTTGGGTTGTGTTAAGGGGGTTCAAAACTTAATATATAGAGGTAAAAAACAGATTCTGCCTTATATATACAATGTAATTTTTCGGCGAAGTGGATTCGGTGAACCCCTTCCGCCCCCTAAATCCGCCCCTGTACGTGCTTAATGTCATGAACCGCAAAATCAAATGGGGCTTGGATCCATCTGAAATGGGCCTTGCTTCATCTAAAGTGGGTCGAATTTATTCAGGTGTTTCAACTTCAAAATTTTCGTAAAAATTGCAAGGGGCGCCCTATTTTTTGCCGCCCCCATTTAACCTATACTCATTTTTTTTAAACTTTTAACTTGTACCCACTTTTTAAAAAACTTCAGCTCCCTTTTTCGTCCCCTTCAGTACCTCACCAGAAGAAAGCAAGGTTGTGTTTTAACATTTATAAATAACGATGGGACAAATGACTCCCATTTGGGCAGATAACAATTAATCCACTCAAGTCGTTGGACTTGTATAAGTTAACGAATTTGATGAGATTTCTGTTGTGGGAAAAAAAAGTGACAATGGAAGAGCTGTACAATTAAACGACTAGGGAATGGCAGCAAGTCTATAAAAAGCTATTGTAGTAGCAAAAGACACCATTTTCTAATTGGCACAATCAGTCCAAATATTTCTAGGAAAACTTCAAAAGAACACAATGCACGAGAAGCGGAGATACCAAATAAAACTTAGTAGATAAGAAACGATAAAAGAAAGCAGATTTACATGATGCAGGGGACAGTGAAAAACTTCAGCTCTGAATCCAAATAGGACAGTGAAAAACTTGAGCTCAAGAGCTGAAGTTTCCCAGTTACTTCAGCTCTAGAGCTAAAGTTTCTCAGTTATAATACAAAAACTTCACCTCAAGAGCTGAAGTTTTCCAGTTACAACACAAACTGAAGTTTCCCAGTTATAACACAAAAACTTCAGCTCAAGAGCTGAAGTTTCCCAGTTACAACACAAAAACTTCAGCTCAAAAGCTGAACTTCAGGCCCGGCTACTAGAATGCTGAAGTTTTGCGTGATTGCCTTTGCTACTTCAGCCCCGTGTGCTGAAGTTATGTGAAAAAGCGGGTACGCTTGCAATTTTTTTTGCAAAGCGGACACAAGTTAAAATGTGGCACAAAAAGCGGGTATAGATGCAAATGCCCCAAAATTTTCATCCATGCCTTTTTAGTCGTAAAAATTGCACGAGACACCCTATTTGGTCGTCCCCATTTAATTTGTACCCACTTTTTAAATTTTTTTAACCCCCTGTTTAAACGACTTCAGGCCTTTTTCTCCTCCTCCTCCTTCTTCGGGGAAGTGCACTAGTACCCTATTTTAAGGGCACTGTTTGAGCTATACCCAATTTTTTAAAATTATTGAACCTGTACCCAATTTGTCATAAGTGATTAATATTTAGACAATAATACCCTGTAAGAAATTGAGCATGAATATTTACCTGATACTAAGATCAACCAAAACAAGAAAGAAGAGCTATCCCGCCACTCTAGACAACCAAAACATAGGCATAACCAAATTATTAAATATACCCTTGAATTAAATATACCGAAAAAGAGAAGAAAATATAAATTTGATGAAAAACAAAAAGTAAAACGACATACAACGAGGAGAGAAAAAGATAAAAAGAAAAATTTTAAATATATTGCTATGAACTTTAGTGTTAGAGCATGAATTTTAGATATTTTTGTTATAAATTTCAGTTGTTGAAATATGAACTTCAGGCATTTTGATATGTATTTCAGATATTTTTCTATGAACTTCAGTCATTTTGATATAAATTTTATATATTTTGACATAAACTTCAGACATTTGGATATGAACTTAAGATATTTGACTAAGATCGTCAAACATATGGGTATACTTCAGATACTAAAGTATAAAGTTCAGACATTTGAGTCTGAAGTTAGGAGCTGCTATTGGCGAACTTCAGATGTCCAAGTCTGAAGTTGTTTTTAATAATTCCGGTCCGGTGAGTGTGCGGGCAGAAGAGAAAGGCAGCACTACCAATGAAACCATATATTACAACATAAAAACACAAGTCAAACAGTCAAATTCATGAAATTTAAAACTAGTATTAAGTTAAAGGAAGTGACACCAATTAAATTAGTGGATCGAAATCACGGACTGAAAAACTAAACTACCAAATAGTGGACATGGATCTGTTTTTCAAGGATTATTAGGTGACATCCTACAATTTTGTGGACAAAAATGCTGCCTTACAGTAAGATAAAGGAAAAAGGGGAGAGAAAATAAAAGTAAGTGGAATCTAGAAGGTTTTGAAAACTGAGGTGTGTTCTTGATGATATTTGAGGCAATGTTTCAAATTTGACCTCATTTGGAGTAAATTTAGGTATTAAATCGTTTAATGGATTGTTAAAAATGAAGAACAAATTTCTGTTTCTGGGCAATTTGCACTTCAGGCCTATTTGGCCTTAAGTGCATGAAAACGTTGGTTGCACTTCAGACCTTTTGGTCTTAATTGCATCTGAAGTGCAATTTTTCACTTTAGACTTATTGGCCTTAAGTGTAGGAAAATATTTGTTGCACTTCATACTTATTGGCCTTAAGTGTAGGAAAATATTTGTTGCACTTCAGACTTATTGGCCTTTAAGTGTAAGAAAACATTTGTTGCACTTCGAAGTGCAATTTTTTTTACTTCAGACTAATTTTTTTTGTAACTTCATACCTGATAAGTCTGAAGTTGATCGTAAAGTGGGTAAGTTTGTAATTTTTTTTACAAAGTAAATATATGTTCAAGTGTGACCCCAAAACTGGATATAGGTGCAGGAGAATCTTTCTAGTCACCACTCAGTAGTATACAATTGCAAATCATGTTTTATTGAGGACATCATTGCCAACCTTTTCTCATTCATGTTTGAAAGTTTCACTGAATTTCGTTAGAACAGAGGAAATATCTTGATTTAATTAGGAGTAAAGCTTTATTAATAAAATGCAAGAATCGTCACAATTAGTAATTGAACCTAGATTCTTTGAGCTACTTTTAGCACTACACTAAAATATTTCTTGTGTCAGGCGGATTAACAATTTCTATATGTACAAATTTTTCCTTAATATAATTTTTCGACATAAAAAAATTCACTTGGGTTCTCTTCGGACCATGTAGTTCTATCCTGCCCTCTCACATAATTGGCATTGCATTCGTTCTTGATTGATGGGAAACAATATGACATTCCTTGTAAGTACGTGCAAGTTTGCTGCTTTTCTCGAGTTGGAAATTAACCCCGCACTAGACAACTAGGGAAAACGTCAGCACTTTCTATCTACAGCAACAACCACAAACCCAACGTAATCTCACAAGTGAGGTCCGGAGAGAGTAATATGTATGCAGACCTTACCCCTACCTTGTGAAGGCAGAAAAACTATTTTCGACAGATCCTCGGCTCAAGGAACAGAGAAAATAAAGTAACAAACAATAGCAACAATAATACAATAGAAGCAAACAGCACAACATATAATAATAATGAACCAGAATTAAGAGAAATACATAAATAGTACTAGTACTAGTGGTAAGACTAAGAGATAATAGCGACTACCTGTCATCTTTCGACCCTAATCCTCAATCTCCACCCTTTCCTATCGAGGGTCATATCCTCGGTAAGCTGGAGTAATAGCATGTCCTGCCTAATCACCTCACCCCAATACTTCTTAGGCCTACCCCTATCCTTTCTCAGACCTGTCATAGTCAACCTCTCACACCTCCTGACTGGGGCATCTATGTCCCTCCTCTGCACATGTCTGAACCATCTCAGCCTCGATTCCCGTAATTTGTCCTCCAACGATGCAACACACACCTTTTCCCTAATGACTTCGTTCCTAATCTTGTATTTTCTGGTATGCCCACACATCCATCTCAACATTCGCATATCAGCTACCTTCATCTTCTGGACATGGGACTTCTTGACGGGCCAACACTCCGCTCCATACAACATAGTCGGTCTAACCACCATTATGTAGAACTTGCCCTTAAGTCTTGTTGCACATTCTTATCACACAGAACCCCAGAAGCGAGCCTCCGTTTTATCCAGGCCACACTAATCTGATGAGTAATATCGTCATCAATCTCCCTGTTGCCTTGGATTACAGACCCAAGATATTTAAAGCTATCCTTTCTGGGATGACTTGTGTATCAATCTTCACTTCCACTTCTGCTTCTGGCATCCCATCACTAAGCTTGCACTCCAAGTACTCTGTTTTTGACCTGGTCAACTTGAAACCTTTAGACTCCAGCGTTTGTCTCCAAATCGCCAACCTAACGTTTACCCCGCATCGCATCTTGTCAATCAGTACTATGTCATCAGCAAAAAGCATATACCATGGCACCTCTCTCGGAATTTGTCGCGTTAGAACATCCAATGCCAAGGCAAACATAAACGGGCTAAGAGTCGGTCCCTGGTGTAACCCCATCTCCACTAGGAAATATTCCGAGTTACCACCCGCAGTCCTCCCCGAGTCTTAGCTCCCTCCTACATATCCTTAATCACCCGAATGTACGCTACCAGAATACTAATAACCTCCAAACATCTCTATAGAACCTCTCTCGGAACTTTATCGTAGGCTTTCTCTAGGTTAATGAACACCATATGCAAGTCTTTTTTTCTCTCCTGATACTGCTCCACCAATCTTTGCACAAGGTGAATGACGGCCCCGGCATAAATCTGAACTGATTCTCAGAAATAGACACACTTCTCCTCACCCTCCTCTCTACCACCCTCTCCCAGATTTTCATAGCGTGACTCAGCATCTTGATACCCCTATAGTTATTGCAGTTCTGAATATCACATTTGTTTTTGTACAACGGAATCATCAAACTCCACTTTCAATCTTCGGGCATCTTCTTTGTACTGAAAATGACATTAAATAAACTAGTAAGCTACTCTACGCCAGCCTGACCTGCGCTTTTCCAATATTCAACCGAGATCTCGTCAGGCCTAGTCGCCTTACCCCTGCTCATCTTCCGCATTGCCTCTTCAACCTCCACAACCTTGATACGTCTACAAATCCAAAATCACTCTGTCTCTCTGAGTTCTTCAACTCACCGAGCACAATGTTCATGTCCCCTTCCTCGTTAAACAGTTTATGGAAGTACGTTTGTCACCTACGCCTAATACACGCTTCTTCTACCAATACCTTGCCATCATCATCTTTGATGCACCTCACTTTGTCTAGATCCCGAGCCTTCCTTTCTCTAATCCTGGCTAACTTGTACAACTTTCTGTCCCTGCCTTTGCCCCCAAGATCCTCATACAATCGTTCAAATGCTGCAGTCTTAGCCATCGTGGACGCCTCTTTCTTAGCCTTCTTATAACACTCCCAATAAGCTCTCTTTTTCTCCTCGTCCGTGCTTTCCACTAGCTTTAGATATGTCGTCTTCTTGGCTTTCACTTTTTCATTCTACCACCAGTCCCCTTTGTGGCCTCCCAACTAACCCTTCGTGACCCCTAATACCACTTAAGTCGCTTCCCTAATGCAGTTCACACTCGTGGTCCATATATTACTCGCATCCCCCTACTCCTCAAGGCCCCTATAGCCAATAGCTTCTCCCCCACTTGATTTTAGAATGGTCGTACACCGCCTTCTTCTTTCTTGCTCTCTTGATCTCCAAGTCCATTACTAATAGCCTATTCTGTATCGATAGAAACTCACTCGGGATAACCTTGCAATCAGTACAACGACCCCTATCACACCTCCTGAAGAGAAGATAATCAATTTAAGTCATGGCTACCTTGTTCCGAAAAGTGACCAAGTGATCCTCCTTCTTCTGAAAATATGTATTCGCTATCACCAAGTCAAAATCTCCAGCAAAATCCAACAACCCACTCTCCCTAACTTTCTTTTTCTCTATCTTCTCTCTACCTTTCAATGTTAACAAGTGACCCCAATTCAATTAAGCCGCCGGAACCACCTCATTCCACCAAAGAAAATATGACACCCCAGATCCCCAACATATTAACTGTGATGACCCAAAAGGTCATCACTTGCTTTTAAATTAAATACTGCATTTTCGAGGCCTTGAAAACCTCATTTAGACTCACCTCAATTTGCGTGCGCAGTCCGGGCGCGTAACCGGAAAGCTTAAATGTGAAAATTTATGAAAAATGATAAAATTTGGCTAATAAATCAATTAATTTGACTTCGGTCAACGTTTTGGATAAACGGACCCGGACCCGTGATTCAACGGTCCCGGAAGGTCCGTAGGAAAATACGGGACTTAGGCGTATGCCCAGAATCGAATTCCGAGGTCCCAAGCCCGAGAAATGAATTTTTAAAGGAAATTGTTTTCTGAAATTGTTTAAGGAAATTTAAAATAAAATTTGTTTAGAACATGGTGGTATCAGGCTCGTACTTTGGTTCTGGCGCCCGGTACAGGTCTTATATCTGATTTAAGTCATTTCTGTAAAATTTGGTGGAAACGTGTGTCGTTTGACGTGATTCGGACCTAAATTGCTAAAGTTGATGTTTTACGAAGTTAGAGAAAAATTCCTTGATTTTGAGATTTAATTCGTTGTTATTGAGGTTATTTTGGCTATTTGATCGCACGGACAAGTTCGTATAATGTTGTTGAGTTAGTACACATGTTTGGTTAGGAGCCCCGAGGGCTCGGGTATGTTTCGGATGTTATTCAGGAAGTTTTGAACTTAAGGAAAAGTTGCATATTTTTTGCTATAGGTGCTCAGGCCTGTTGTTCATCGCGATCGCGTAGTCACTCTCGCGATCGCGTAAGGTAAATGTGGACAGGGGTGGATTTGTTCATCGCGAACGCGAAGCCACAGTCGCAAACGCGGAGCTTTGGGGATTGCTCATCGCGAACGCGACCTGTGTGACGCGGACGCGTATTGTTAATTGGAGGGGGCTGGGATTTTGGTCGTTCTTTTACGCGAACGCGTACGTGTGTCCGCGAACGCGATGGTCAGGGGGTTCAACCCTTCGCGATCACGTGGAAGAACTCGCGATCGCGTAAGTCCACTTACTGGCAGCCTTCGGGATCGCGACAATGTTCTCGCGAACGCGATGAACACTGTCGCCCAACACTTAAAACAATAGCTAAAACGGGATTTGTTCAAAATTTCATAACTTCTTCATCTCAACTCCAAATTGGGCGATTCTTGAAAGAGGATTTCACCACAAATTCATAGGTATGTAATCTTAGACTCATTTTCTTCAATTTCCGTTAACACCCATTAGATTTCTAGGCCTAAAACATGAGATTAAGGGTAGAAAATTAGGGCTTTGGGTAGAGTTAGGGCTTTTTGATTAATTGTGATTTAGACGTCGTTTTGGGATCGAATTTTAAAAATAATTATATATTCGGGCTCGTGGGTGAATGGGATATCGAATTTTGGTGCGAACCTCGTGTTTTGACCAAGCGGGCCCGGGGTCAATTTTTGGATTTTTGGGAAGAATGATTAAAAAGCTATAATTGAGCATTGGAATTGGATAGTTTAGCATTTATTGATGTTATGAAGTCAATTATGTATAGATACGATTGTGTTGGAGCCAAATTCGAAAGGAAAGGCGGTGTTTGAGGCTTGAGTTGGTTGTGGAAGTTTGAGGTAAGTGTCCGGTCTAACCTTAGCTTGAGGGATTAGGTGTTGTGTCCTATTTGATAATTGCTTCTTATTGAGTACGACGTATAGTCATGGTGACGAGTATCTATACGTTGATGTCGAGCATGACCGTGAGTCTTGAATTGATGGATGTTGTGTTCTTAAATGTTACTACGGATGTTTTAATTGATGGTTCTCGATATTGAGAAAAGATTAAGTTTATTTTCGTGGATTTCATTTATGATTGAGTGTTGGTACTAATTGAGCTGAGTAGGAGTTGAGTTAGGATTGGTTATAGCTGATTCTCCCTTGTCGAGATGTTTATCTTGATATTGTTTCTCCCTTGCCGGGAATTTATTACATTGCTTTTGTTCCCTTGCAGGGAAGTTTTTATATTGCTTTTGCTCCCTTGCCGGGATTCCCTGTGATTTTGTGTTGGCTTGTAAATGGGATCGGGTGGTACGCCTACCAAGAGATATGATGAAATGGGATCGGGTGGTACGCCTACCACGAGATATGATGAAATGGGATCGGGTGGTATGCCTACCACGAGATATGATGAAATGGGATCGGGTGGTATGCTTACCACGAGATATGATGAAATGGGATCGGGTGGTACGCCTACCACGAGATATGAGAAATGGGATCGGGTTGCACGCCTGCAACGAGATGTGAACTGAAAGTGTAAATTGCCTTTGCTTTCCTTATCTTTGATAGAAGTTGAATCTTTGGTTTCTTGATAATTCTCTTGAGATTCTGTTTTATCTATTATTCCCCCGAAGCATGTTTCCCCTTCCCAGCTTTAATTGTTTGTTCTAGTTTATTTTTCCGCTGCATATACATATATAACTGCACAGGTTTATCTGAGTCTGGTCCTAGCCTCGTCACTACCTCGCCGGGGTTAGGCCAGGCACTTACCAGCACATGGGGTCGGTTGTGCTGATGCTACACTCTGCACTCTGTGCAGACACCGGAGCAGTATTGGGACAACAACAGTAGTTTGGGAGCCAGCCTTCAGTCCACAGAGATCACGAGGTAGTCCTGCAGGCGTCCGCAGGCCCCGCGTCTCCTCTATCTTTTATTGTGTTATGTTTTCTCTTGTATTCGAGACAGACAGTGTTACTTTCTTTCAAATCGTTGTATGTAGTAATCTTAGTAGTCTGTGAATGATGTGACATCAGTTTCTGGGTAGAGGCATACGTGGATTTTCTTATCATTTTGGTTCATTTTGTCTAAGTCTTCCGCTTAAATATCATATTCCGCTGTTATTTAAATGTTTGTCACTTGATAATGTATGTTGTTAAAAGGATTAAAACAAAGGAGTTAAGAATTTATAATTTCGTGTCTTGCCTAGCTTCTACGAGTAGGCGCCATCATGACTCCCGAGGGTGGGAAATCCGGGT